AAAGAAATGCGGAGAGAAGGAAACCCGGAGAGGATTGAGGGGACTGGAGGAGGAAAACACAGGAGGAAGAATAGTTGTGCAGGAATTGGGGGTGTCCGTTTTAATAGAACGATAGCAGGGTTTCAATATATATATATATATATTTTTGGGGGGTGGGCTGCCATAAATAAAATGAATTTCGATGAATCAATCAGAATAGAGCCGGAAGGGAACCCCCCCGGAGGTCTTCTAGTCCAACCCCTCAACCTCTGTTTTTTAAAACGATGACCAAAACTAGTTGCCGTAATCCAAGTGGGGTCTTGCCAAGGCATTATCATAAAACGATTATAATAAAAGAAAGAAATAAAATAATAATAATAATAATAAAAGATCCCCCTGATCTTGATCCTATCCCTCTGTGGATGCCGCCTAGAATTGCGTTGGGTTTTTTTTTTGAGGGAGGGGACGGCAGCTGCCGCACCACGGCCGCCTCATAATTGAACTCCCATCCGCATTAGATGGAATTTTTGTCTTTGGGGGGGAAAGGATTTTTTTTAAAATAATAATAATAATAATAATAATAAATAAATAAAGGGGGGAAAGGAAGGTATTTTAAGCGAAGGCGTCTCGGTTACACGCCTGCTTATCCACTTAAGTAGTGAGGTGGGGACGCCAATGTCAACACAGACCTCTCAGCAAAGCATTCTTGGTGGGAAGAACTTGCCGCGTTTGGCGGTCGGCTTGCGGCCTCCTCTTCATCCGAGCGGTGCCAAAAATGGGGAGGAAAAAAATGTAAAAAAACAAAAAAAAACCCCTCCCTCCCAATCACTTATTTTTTTTGGCTCTCCGGACGAATTCTTGTTGCAGGTATGTTCAAATGCGAGGCGCGACGTCCTGTTTCCTGCCAAGCGAGAGGCTGGTGGCGGAGGCCGGCCAAGCGGCCGCTGGAGGAGAAGGAGGAGGAGGAGGCGGTGGGGGGCAGCAGGATCAGCAGTGGGGAAAACTGAGGTTCCCCCACCCCCCCAACACACCGGTCTTCTTTGGGGGTTACCACGAGGGTCAAGACGAGCCGGCCAGCTTCGGGCGGTCACTTCTGCTCGGCCCCATTTCGATCGATGGGAATGGAGCTGGAGGGGGACCTCGGAGGTCTTCTAGTCCAACCCCCCCCAACCCGGCTCCGGCAGGAGAACCTAGGCCATTTCAATCCATCCATCGGAGCAGAGCTGGAAGGGAGTTCCTGGAGGTCTTCTAGTCCAACCCTCTGCTCAAGCAGGAAGGGCCTAGTCCATTGCAGATAAGTGACTCTCCGCTCTCTTCTTAAAAACCTCCAGGATAAATACCCACAGTTCCTAGTGGCAAGCGGTTCCACTGGCGAATTGCTCTCCAGGTCACGAAATTTATCCTGAAATTGTAGGAGTTGCTTCTCTCCTTCGTGAGTTTCCGTCGGTTGCTTCTTCTTGTCGGTCCCTCTGGTGCTTTGGAGAATAATTTGACCCATCGCTCTCTCTCTCTCTTTCTCTCTCTTTCCGTCTCTCTCTCTCTCTCTCTTTTCCTGAAAGTGCTGAGATTGTAGGAAATTCTCCATTCTTTCCTACATTTCCCCGCTGCCGCGTGGTGTCGGAAATAACAGCCGTGACCTACTACCGTGGAAATAAATAACCGCAAGATTGCAAGAGCAGCCGTGGTGGCGTGTGGTTCTTTTTTCGGGGTGGGGTGATGGGCTGGGGGGGCTTTTTTGCTTTGTTTTAATGAATCCACGGGGTCAGGTTTGCAAATATTATACATTTATAAACCGAATCGGTCTGCTTAAAACATCCCTCCCCCACAACAGTCCACCCAGCACTTCGGATACGTTCCCCCCGTCCGTTTCCTTCTCGGCCTCTTTGCCGCTTCCAGAGAAAGGAAGGAAAAAAATAAAAGTGCCTTTTCCCCACCCCCCCCAGCCCACCCCCCCTCCCTCCCCCCAAAAAATGCTCAAAATCAGTGCAATATAACTTTTTCCTATCAGTTCTTTACACGGGAAGAAAACAAAAAAAAGAAAGACTTTTTGTGCAGCCTCGCTGGCGTGTGCGATAAAGTGTGCAGGCAGACACACACGTCTACGCATCATACACACACACAAGTGTATGTATATGTATGTATGTATATATGTGTGTGTGTGTATGTATATGTACAAAAAGACATCCTGATACATACATAGATACATACATATATATATATATATATATATATACACATCGGGATGTCTGTTTTTTCAGTTTTACCTGGAACTTATATTTATAGAATAATATATATGTATACACATACACACACACACACATATATATATATTATATTTATACATGTGTGTACTATATATATATGTATATATATATATATATACTTATATATACATACAGAAACGGTTAAGAAAATACCAGGTTTTTTTTAAGGGGTATCGGCTGTTGGTGCAAGATCGTTGTCCTCTCTCCCCTGCGGAGTTTTTGGCTTCTGTGATTCACCCGAAAACGTCCTTACGGGGGGCCCCGATTCTCCGGCTGAGCCGAGCGTGTGGTGGTGGCGGGAGGAGGTCCAGGGTGGGGGGGGGGGCGGTTTCCTCCGGGTCAGGAGTCCAGTTCTAAGTGTTCGTGGTGCTCGCCGGACCTCAGCATGAGCTGCTGTTCGTAGAAAAGGCTCTTTGCATAGTTGATCTCTTGACAGAGGCGGACGGCCACGTCCTCGGCGGAGACGTGGACCTGCGGGAGGAAGGACAGGACCGCGGAGGCTTAGAAAAAGACACACGCAAGGCCTCCTGCTTGAGCAGGGGGGGTTGGACTAGAAGACCTCTGAGGTCCCTCCCGGCTCTATCCTGATTGATTGATTGATTGAAATGGTAGGGTCCCCAATAAAAAAGCTCTTCCCGTCCGCTCGCCAGCTGAGAATTCTGGGTAATCCTCGACTTACGACATTAACAACCTAGAAATGGAAATCCCGTCGTTAAGGCAAAGACGTGCTGTGCTGAATTTAGAGACTTATATACACCACTTGCTTCACGGCTTGCTCGACAACTGTCTCCAAGGGAATGTAACAACTTATAACTGTTCGTTTAGGGACGGTTCAAAGTTACGACGGGGCTGGAAAAAGGGACCTAAGGCTGTTTTTTTTTTCACCCTGACGACGGTCGCGGGCTCCCTGAGGTTCGACGGGGAAGGCAGGTTCGTTTCTAACGACTGCGTTTGCCCGACTTCACCGCTTGCAGCAATTCACTCAACGACGGTGGCGAGAGGGGTCGTTAAGCGGGATGAGCCTCCCTTAGCAATGCTCAGCCGTGGACATTTTGGGGGCTCACAAAATATCCGCCTTGGCTCTGACACTTCTGTTGTGCGGCAGAGGCGTTCGGGCATCCGACGGTGGCCGTTAAGCCGAGGACTCCCGGCCATCGGTTTGAAAAGGCCCCAGACTGAACCCTAAAACGACTGGGTTTAATCGTAAGGGCTCCATGCGCAACGCCGAAGCAAACTCCACCTGCCCCACCCTAAGAGCCATTCGCCTTTTTGCTTAGCAAGGGAAGGTTTCGGCTCCGTGACGGTCGGACGTTAAGCCGAGGAATACCTTGTACTAAAGGGTTTCCAAAACCTCCGGGGTCGAAATCGTTTCAAACCGGCGCAAATGATCGGACCCAATCCTCCCGAGAGAGAGCGGGCTCACCATGGGCTTCTGGTGCGACGGGCCGGGCATCGCGATGCCGCTGGTGGAATTGACGGCTTTCTTGGTCAGCTGGACGTAGACCTGTCCGTGGTCCCTGGAGATGAGGCAGTGGTAGAGGTCGTCGTATTTCACCTCCAGGAAGATGGCCTCTCGGTCCAGGGCGTCGCCGCTCTTGAGGAAATAAACCGCTCTGGAAGAGATGACCACGCAGTAGCCGTCCACGTTCTCCACCGCGATGAAGCTGGAAAGGGAGGAGGGAAGACGGGAGAGTGTGAGATTGACAAGAGCTGGAAGGGAGCTGGAAGGTCATCTAGTTCAACCCCCACCCTGCCCGAGCAGGAGGCCCTACGCCGTTTCGGACAGACGGGTAATCCAGTCTCTTCTTGAAAGCCTCCAGGGACGAAGCGCCCGCAACTTCCGAAGGCAACTTCTGTTCCACTGAATATAGAATAATAAGAGTTGGAAGGGACCTTGTAGGTCATGTTTTGTTCACGTCTTTCTTCTCAACTCTCTGGCGTCCATTTCTCCCCATCCGGGTTGGCTGCCAGGCCTCCTTAGTGATCCTTTAAAAAATGCCAGGTTTTTCCCAATCCCACCAAGTGCAAAAGGGAGAATTCCCAGCCAGCGCGAGCGATTAAAAAAATAAATAAATCAATTTAAAAAAAAAAAGAAAAAGAAAAGAGAAGCAACCGCATCCACGGAGGGAGAATTTATGGCCCAAAAGTCGGGATCGCCTCCGGCAAAAAGTCACACACGTACACACAGACACACACGCATCAGGAAGTAATTTAATTACTCAGCAACGGGGTTTTTTTTCAGAAGTGAAACAGGGAGCCCAGCTGAGAATAACAATGTGGGATCACTTAGCAAGATAACTTTAAATTAAAAAAAAAAGATTAAAAAAAGAAGGATTTAACTCTGAAGAAAAAGGTCGTTTAAGCGTCGCTCGCTTTGCGGC